ACTTCTGTTTATAAATGTTGGACACTGTAAGAGGGGCCCAAAGACAAACTTTTGTGCCAGTAAGTAAAAAGAACTGCAATTGTTCAGGGAATTTCCTAGTGCTCTATGATACTACAGCAAAGTACATTATGTCTTTGTAGCAAAAAGCATTATGAAACCCATTAAAAACTGCTTTTAAATATAGGGTGAAAACACTGGAGGGGATGAACAAATTCAGAGTATAATACATGTATATATGGATATGTCTAAACAAAACCCCCAGTATAGCTATCACAAACTGAAGAAAATGTTTGTTTTTAATAAATGAAGAACAGGAAGATAAAACAGGTCCTATTTGGGAGAAAGTACATGTGGGAGGGGGGAAGCATAAGGAAAGGGTGAAAGAGGGTGAATAAAATGGAAATATTTCGTATTCCTTTATGAAAATAAAGAAATGTACGCTGCTGAAATTGGTCTAAGAAGGGGGAAAAGGGGATAAAAAGAATGATGGAGGGGGTGGATCTAATTAAGATGTTTTGTAAGCACTTATGTAAATGTCACAACAAACCCCCCTGTCAAAATGTAATAAGCTAACAGTTTAAAAAATGGTTGAGGTAGGAAGAGGGATAAGAAAAAGTTACTTCGATCAAAGTACACTATGTACATGTATGGAAACACCACAATCAAACCCTTTGTATGATTTAATAAACACTAATACATTATAAAAAGAACTAATCAGAGAACAGAAAAATTCAAAAATACTCCATCATCACTGGAAGAGAAAATCAGATTGATATCCTCATCAAAAAATATTCCAAACAATTCCTCTGGTGGGTTTCTTTTAATGAAATATAAGTTGTTATCAAAGAAAGGGCAAGGAAGAGAAGAATGAGGCAAAAGGGAAAACAAAGGATGTAATCACAGAGGAAGAAAGGAGAAGTTAATCTACAAAACATTTGTCAAGACCACCCACAGAATGGGAGAAAATCTTTGCTAGGTATACATCAGACAAGGGACTGATAACAAGAATATACAGGGAGCTCAAAAAACCAAACTCCCCAAAAATCAATGAGCCAATAAAGAAGTGGGAAATTGAACTAAACAGAACATTTTCAAAGGAAGAAGTCCAAATGGCCAAAAAGCACATGAAAAAAATGCTCACCATCCCTGGCCATAAAGGAAATGCAAATCAAAACCACACTAAGATTCCACCTCACACCTGTTGGAATTGCTACCATCAAGAACACCACCAACAACAAATGTTGGCAAGGAAAAAGGAATCTTCAAACACTGCTGGTGGGAATGTAAGCTAGTACAACCACTTTGGAAAACAGTATGGAGGCTTCTTTAAAAAACTAAATGTAGATCTGCCATATGGTCCTGCAATACCACTCCTAGGGATATATCTGAAGGAATACAGCTCAGATTATTACAAAGGCAACTGCACACCCAGGTTTACCGCAGCACTATTCACAATAGCCAAGTTATGGAAATAGCCAAGATGTCCCACTACTGACAAATAGATTAAGAAAATGTGGTATTTATACACAATGGAATTTTACTCAGCCACAAAGAAGAATGAAATCTTATCATTCGCAAGTAAATGGATTCATATGTGGATAATAGACCCAAAACAAATGCAGTAATATTATTGGACATGGGTCACACACTCAGGAAAACACACACGGGAAGAATAGGGAAAGGGAAGGAAACCTAAAACTTGAATGTGGTTGATGTGCTCATTATATATAGGAACAAATATAGTAATCTTCAAATGGCAGAAGCCACTATGGAAATGGGAACAGGAAGTAATGAAGAGTTCTAGTAGACATGAACCAATGTGGGTTTTAATACACATGTACATGGAAACAATTCTAAGAATCTCTCTGTATAACTATTTTTGTTCCAAACTAGCAAAACACTGTTTTTTTTATTATCTCTTTTGTTTTATCTCCAACAAAATTGGAGAAAAACAGAATGGAACAGGTTTTGTCAGGAAGCAGAGGCAGGGCAGGGCAGGTGGCCCAAATAATGTATACACCTATAAATAAATGTAAAAACAATAAAATAAAATTAAAAAAATTTTTAGAAACATTTATCAAAATATTCACTGTATAAGGTTGCAGGTAAATAAGAGTAACCCCTAACATTCTACAGCAGAATAGCTATAAGGTAACTATGGATGACAAAAATTTAATGAATATTTCATAGTAGATAGTGAAGTGGATTTCAAAGATTTCCAACACAGAGAAATGAGGAATCTCTGAGGTTGACATATGCCACTTATTCTGATCTGGTGATGCATATCTAATACATTTATATATTGAAACATATATATTGAAATTTCATATTACACCAATAAGTGTGTAAAATCACTATGGGCAGAAAGAGAGAGAGAAGGAAGAAAGCAATGAAGTGATGTTTAACCTAAGAACATTTGCCAAAATATTCTTTTTTTTTAATTGTTTTATTATTCATATGTGCATACAAGGCTTGGGTCATTTCTCCCCCCTGCCCCCAACCCCTCCCTTACCACCTACTCCACACCCTCCCGTTCCCCCTCACCCTCTCAATAACCAGCAGAAACTATTTTGCCCTTATCTCTAATTTTGTTGAAGAGAGAGTATAGGCAATAATAGGAAGGAACAAGTGTTCCTGGTTGAGATAAGGATAGCTATACAGGGAGTTGACTCACATTAATTTCCTGTACGAGTGTGTTGCCTTCTAGGTTAATTCTTTTTGATCTAACCTTTTCTCTAGTTCCTGATCCCCTTTTCCTATTGGCCTCAGTTGCTTTTAAGGTATCTGCTTTAGTTTCTCTGCGTTAAGGGCAACAAATGCTGGCTAATTTTTTATGTGTCTAACCTATCCTCACCCTTCCCTTGTGTGCTCTCGCTTTTATCATGTGCTCAAAGTCCAATCCCCTTGTTGTGTTTGCCCTTGATCTAATGTCCACATATGAGGGAGAACATACGATTTTCGGTCTTTTGGGCCAGGCTAACCTCACTCAGAATGATGTTCTCCAATTCCATCCATTTACCAGCGAATGATAACATTTCATTCTTCTTCATGGCTGCATAAAATTCCATTGTGTATAGATACCACATTTTCTTAATCCATTCGTCAGTGGTGGGCATCTTGGCTGTTTCCATAACTTGGCTATTGTGAATAGTGCCGCAATAAACATGGGTGTGCAGGTGCCTCTGGAGTAACCTGTGTCACAGTCTTTTGGGTATATCCCCAAGAGTGGTATTGCTGGATCAAATAGTAGATCAATGTTTAGCTTTTTAAGTAGCCTCCAAATTTTTTTCCAGAGTGGTTGTACTAGTTTACATTCCCACCAACAGTGTAAGAGGGTTCCTTTTTCCCTGCATCCTCACCAACACCTGTTGTTTGGTGTTGCTAATGATGGCTATTCTAACAGGGGTGAGGTGGAATCTTAATGTGGTTTTAATTTGCATTTCCTTTATTGCTAGAGATGGTGAGCATTTTTTCATGTGTTTTTTGGCCATTTGAATTTCTTCTTTTGAGAAAGTTCTGTTTAGTTCACTTGCCCATTTCTTTATTGGTTCATTAGTTTTGGGAGAATTTAGTTTTTTAAGTTCCCTATATATTCTGGTTATCAGTCCTTTGTCTGATGTGTAGCTGGCAAATATTTTCTCCCACTCTGTGGGTGTTCTCTTCAGTTTAGAGACCACTTCTTTTGATGAACAGAAGCTTTTTAGTTTTATGAGGTCCCATTTATCTATGCTATCTCTTAGTTGCTGTGCTGCTGGGGTTCTGTTGAGAAAGTTCTTACCTATACCTACTAACTCCAGAGTATTTCCTACTCTTTCTTGTATCAACTTTAGAGTTTGGGGTCTGATATTAAGATCCTTGATCCATTTTGAGTTAATCTTGGTATAGGTTGATACACATGGATCTAGTTTCAGTCTTTTGCAGACTGCTAACCAGTTTTCCCAGCAGTTTTTGTTGAAGAGGCTGCTATTTCTCCATCGTATATTTTTAGCTCCTTTGTCAAAGACAAGTTGGTTATAGTTGTGTGGCTTCATATCCAGGTCCTCTATTCTGTTCCACTGGTCTTCATGTCTGTTTTTGTGCCAGTACCATGCTGTTTTTCTTGTTATTGCTTTGTAATATAGTTTGAAGTCAGGTATTGTGATACCTCCTGCATTGTTCTTTTGACTGAGTATTGCCTTGGCTATTCGTGGCTTCCTGTGTTTCCATATAAATTTCACGGTAGATTTTTTGATCTCTTTAATGAATGTCATTGGAATTTTGATGGGAATTGCATTAAACATGTAGATTACTTTGGGGAGTATTGACATTTTTACTATGTTGATTCTACCAATCCATGAGCATGGTAGGTCTCTCCACTTTCTATAGTCTTCCTCAATCTCTTTCTTCAGAAGTGTATAGTTTTCCTTGTAGAGATCTTTCACATCTTTTGTTAGGTTTACACCTAGGTATTTGATTTTTTTTGAGGCTATTGTAAATGGAATTGTTTTCATACATTCTTTTTCAGTTTGCTCATTGTTAGTGTATAGAAATGCTAATGATTTTTCTATGTTGATTTTATATCCTGCTACCTTGCTATAGCTATTGATGATGTGTAGAAGCTTCTGAGTAGAGTTTTTTGGGTCTTTAAGGTATAAGATCATGTCATCTGCAAATAGGGATATTTTGAAAGTTTCTTTACCTATTTGTACTCCTTTTGTTCCTCTTCTTGCCTAATTGCTCTTGCCAAAATATTCTAATTCATGTTTGCACTTGGTTTGAGCCCTCCAGTTGCCAAATGTATGATATTGGTGAACATGACAGAGTCAATCAAGTTCCATAAGAGTCAGGAAGAACATCGACTTCTGTTCTTGGAACATTGTATATGGAAACCAAAGAGTCTTGGTTACTAAAAAGAATCACAGAACCAATAACATTAAGTCTCAATATTGGTTGTTGTCATTGTTACAACTGCCAATGAAAGAAAAGTCATTTCAAGAGCAAACAACAATCAGACATTTTTATCACTTTCCCACCACTGAGCTCTCCTTTTTGACCCAAAACTTCCCCATGGCATTTTTCACCTCTGCATTCCTGAGAGTGTAGATGATAGGGTTCAGCATGGGGGTGATGACTGTGTAGAACACAGCCACGAGTTTGTCTCCAGTAAAGGAAGATGAGGGTCTCATGTAGATGAAGGTGGCAGGTCCAAAAAATAAGACGACAACCAAGATGTGAGAGGCACAGGTGGAGAGGGCCTTGTGCCTTCCCTCAGCAGAATGGTTCCTCAAGTTAACCAGGATGATGACATAGGAGGACACCAAGAGGAGAGGGGGGAAGACAGAGATTAACCCACTGTTGACAGACACAATAACCCCTTCCACAAAGGTGTCAGAGCAGGCAAGCTTAAATAAAGGATGGAGATCACAGAAATAGTGATCAATCATATTTGGACCACAGAAGGGTAACTGCATGGTGATGAGAACCTGAATAATGGAGTGAAAAAAGCCTCCCAACCAGGACCCAGCTACCATCATGTGACACAGTTGATGACTCATTATGTTCATGTAATGAAGAGGCTTGCAGATGGCCACATAACGGTCATAGGCCATCACCACAAGCAAAAGGATCTCAGCGACTGCAAAGTAGTGGAAGAAGAAGATCTGACTCAGACAGCCCTTTAGAGAGATGGTTTTAATCCTGACAAGAAAGTCAGTGATGAGTTTAGGGACAACAGTAGAGGAGGAACAGATTTCCACCAAGGACAGAGAGCTGAGGAAGATGTACATGGGGGAATGCAGACTCTTACTGAAGCTGAACGTCATAACGATGAGGCCATTGCCCACCACTGTGGCAAGGTACACACACAGAAACAACACAAAACACACTCTCTGCACTCCTGGGTCCTGGAAAAGGCCAGTGAAAATAAACTCAGTCACATTATTTATAGTGGCCTTGGATTCCATTTGCAGAAGAGGGATCTTCAAGAAGAGTCCTGTGACAAAGCAAACACAGGCATAACATCAAACCTTCATGTTTATTTAGCAGTCACCTGTTGATAATATCCTTTCATGCATATTTCCTGACTGATTTGTTCATTGCTATAGTGAATGTGTTTCATTTGGTGTTCACATACCCAATCTGTGTAAGACAGTTAGTCAGGCAACCTCACAAAAACTCCATGAGCTCCAAAATACAAGTGAGTGAGAAAAACTGAGACTCATGGAAGTTGAGAATTAACCAAGTCTCCCAGACTAGAACCAGATCATCTTAAAATGGTTATGGTTTATAATATGTTAGTTCAAATAATCTATAAAAACAATTCCAATAATAACCATTTACATTCATTACTAACATTTCTTCCATTCTCAATATTTACTCTAAGTACCTTTGCATTAAGAGACTTCCAAGTTACCAACTGGTGCTGAACTCACCACCCTACACACACACACACACACACACACACACCCCAGAAATACCAAGTTCATTGAATCTTCTCCTTTTTTGAAGAGAATCTTTGATATTTTATTTGCACGAATAAGTTTCTGAAATCTATCAGGCTCTACAATTTGCCCAAAACCACAACTTTATAAATTTTAAATTATTTTGAGAATTTTTGGCACCTTGGGGACTTTGTGAACAAAGGGAAGGTGTTTGGAATATACTATCAGTGAGTTATATGTAATATATGGAGATTCACCACTTTGCTTTTTTGTGTTTGTTTACTCCACCTCCTACTGGCAACATTGTTTTTAGAAGTAAATGAGGATTTTTAATACAATTATCTAAAACCAAAGTTTTATGAAGTACCTCCCAAGAATACAGACAATTCAAGATATAGTAAAAGAGATTGAAATATGGCTCTACCCTCAGGCAGATTGCAACTTCACGTGTCTAAAGAGCACACTTATGGGATGAGGGAGAGAAACACTCAAGATTTTCAGTATTTTAAATTATTACCTCAGTGTACAACACTTGCATAACATATGCAAAGCCAAGGGTTCCATCCCCAGTATTAAAAAAGAATTACTTTGAAGTATCTATTTTCCTATTTTTTCTTCTTATGCTTGTGTTCTTAAAAATCTTAAAAATGCATTAAATGCATCCATAATTTCTCTCATTGTGAAAATCTGAACAGTTATACAAGGTTAGAGAAATCTCAGTAACATACCTGGTTAAAACTGGAGAGGAAACGGGGAAGGAATTAAAAGGGGGCAACCCAGAAGAGCAACTAAATAAAGATTGGCAGTACAGTGGGGCTCACTTACTGGAGCAAAGGATTATGGAAAATGAGGTAACCACAAGGCTACAGAGAGTCAGGTGGCACAAAGGAACCTGGAATGCGTGTTTGCCCAATTTTCACTACTTTCATGGTCATTTCCACAACCAGAATGACCACAGGAGCTGCTGTCCTTCATTCAGGATCTACTGCGGTGTGCTAAACTGTAGTAAATGTTTACAGATGTCTCTACTTAACTCTTCCTTACCTCTTGGAGAAATGAAGCTAATTGATAGAGGGGAAACTGAGACTTGGGTTTAGTATCTTCCCCCAAAAAACACAGCTGGTGAGTGAGCCAAAGCTGAAACCCCAGCTGATTCAAATAAAGGGAGATGAGAATAGCCACACCTCCCTGCATCTGAGAAATGGAATTGAAATATATGGCCAACTTACCAAAATGCTTTTAGTATTCCCTTCCTGTGAATAGTAGGAACATTATAAGAAGCATCAAGTTATTGAGAATGTTTCAGTTCCACCATCTCTGGATCATCACTGACCAGAAAGTCCATTGGCCCTGAGCAGAGTGTGAGACTCGGGGATCTGCCTTGCCTCCTCCACCCCATGGCTGAGGTTTGAACAGGGGTCAGAGCTGCACTACCGAGACTGCAGATTTGACCTGGTGGAACTCACACTGGGTCTCATAGCCACATTATCATCTCGCCATCCCTCACGCTTGAGGCTGGGAAGTCAGCTCTAGATCATGCTTCACCTCCACATTTCAGATTTACACAAGGCCACAGCCTATGGACATCACCAGGTCCTTCCTCTGTCTTCCTGCAGTCCCCATCTTCAGGCAGAGCATCCATGTGAGGATTACTGCAGGTATTACATGATCCGTGTGTCTCCAGGTGTCTGCTCTCTTCATTCCCCAATCTGTGCTTCATACTGAAGTTATAAAGTCTTCCTGTCTCCCTCTGCTCAGATAGTGATACCACTGTCTCCTGGCTACCTGGCCAGCATGCCTAAATATCTCCACCTAACTTTTAGAACCTCTACAGAGTCTTTCAGCAGCCCCTGCCATTTCTCACTTAGAATTCCAAACCTCTCACACTCATGCACACATCATATCAGAGTCCTTATGTTGAGAAGGTTACCTAACAGACTTAGGATATTGTTTAAATAAATTAGGAGAATTACTACAATCATATCAGATGATTTTGTGAGATCGCAGAGATTTTTAATAGCATAATACTACATACTTGAAATGGTAGCCAAATATTCAACATATTTGAAATGTAGGTAAGATAAAATATAAAGCACTTATCAGGGTTCTTTGAAAAGAGAAAGCTCTCAATATATACTACTATTATTGGCTCATACTCTATGTTAATCTAGTTACATTTCTCTCTGCTTCCTCTTTCTCCCTTGTCTAAAAGAAAGAGTAACAAGTTACTTCCTCTTCCCTTCAGCACTGCCCCAAATAAAACCCTCACCCTAGAGTCATGAATTACAAGGTAATCCATGGATTGCATGAAAAACTATAGGCAGGTAAATGATGGTCTAGACAGTGACTAGGTAAAATATTAGCCTTTAACATAAAGTACTAGGAAGAGACATCTGAAAAGGACAAAATAATAAGTGAAGGAGAGCCTGGAAATCCTATTGCTACAACCTCAAATCACAGCACAAAGGCCTCCTTCACACAACTCACTCTGAGTCCCAAACTGGTACTGCATGGAATCCCAGAAAGCAAATTCCAGAACAGACTTTAGGACCCCCATCTGTCAAGGTTCCTCTGTTCTACAGAGCCAAAAACTGAGCATAAAGAAAGTGGTTTGTCCCACATCACACAGTGATTTGAAACTGCTCACCCACCCTCAACCTGATTTCAACCTGAGAAATCATCTAGATAAGGCATTACCTACCTTCCTTGGGTAATACTCACTCTTAGAACAAAGAGCTGAACATGAAAATTCTCCTCAGGCTCTGGAAATTTTTCTTCCTCTTTTGTCAGAGCTCATCATCACTCAGGATCCCAGGTTGTGGCCTGAAAATAGGTGCTCTCTTCTAAACAAGAGTCCTTCACCTGGATTCTGTATCTACATCAAAGGCAACCATTCGGCTAAACCACTTATTCTCAGTTAAAGCACAAGGAGAAATAAAAGAAAGAGTTGAAAGGACAGTATAGACCATTAATTTAATCTCTTTAGTTTATAAATGATGTATCTGAGGACAGGATAGTTTATTTGACTACTCAAAGTCACACAACTTGTTCTTGTTCAAGAGGCTGAGGTTGTGCTATTTTTACAACACGGATTCCATTCTAGTGATTTTGATTTCAATTTTTAGGTTGTTGCCATTGAGTAAGTGAATCTTGCTTCCACAAAACAAAATTCACTAGGTCCTGTGAACAAGTTATGGCAATATGCATAAATCAAAAGAGAAGGATTTAGGAAATCAGTCCAATCTTAGATCACCTACTTAAAAACTGAATAATAACTATAGGAAACAGTTAAACAATTATTTTTAGATTCTTGTTTTTAGTTTAGAAAACCTTCTCACTTGCTGGAATACCAAGGATAATTTTTTCAATATTGAGATGCCAGAACCAGTTAAAATAAATTTGGTCATGTACTGTGATAAGGAGACTGAATTCCCCTTGGAGTTTTTTGTCTCCAGTGTAAAACATTGCCAGAAACCTGAGTTGGAAAAATTATCAACATGTGTTTCAATTAATTTTGATAGAGACTGTTGAGAAATTCCAAACATGCAGCACATCTGCTCTGAGACAAGGAAGGCAAGACATGACATTAGGAGAGCTTTCTGCCATCTTTTTTCTAAGTTGTCATGGGACTTGAGACCTAAGAGAGAAGAAAATAGAGGTCTGGTCCAGGGGTAAAGACTTCAGCAGAATGACTTTAATAAGATCCTCCAACTCTACAATTTGAGGCATAAAGTGACAGGACTGGGCTATATCATCCTTCATATCCCTTCTATCCTAATATTCCACATTTCAAGATTACCTGGAGGACTGGAGGTGTGGCTAAAGTGGTAGAGCACCTGCTATGCAAGTGCAAAGGCCTGAGTTCAAATCCCAGTCCCACCAAAAGAAAAGAAAAGAAAACAAGATTACTTGGACTTGTCTCTCATGCCTTAAAGGTTCATGAGTGATGATAATGACTGTGATTATGATCACAATAATAACATCCATTCTTTAGTACCTATTATGTGCCAGTTTGCAGCCATTATTACTAGTATTCATAGCACTTCTACAAGGACATGTTTTCTTATGGAACGTTTTGTTTCATGCCAGCATCCACTTTCCTTTATTGTGTCATACGTAGCCAGACTTTGTTTTACAGAAACCACAGCATGCCAATCACAGCCATATAGTTTGGATGATGCTGATCACCCAGGGATAGGCCATAGTCAGAACATAAACCTTGACCTTGGCTGCCATATTGGTTCAGAGACAGAAAGTAACCCAGTCAAGGATACAGGGAGGGAGCCATTTGAGGGATTTTCAGGAAATTAGTTTCCTAAGCAGAATACAACAAAAGAAACAGAAAACTTTCCTTTGAGGCTGTAAGGTCTAAAACTGTATCTGCCATTTTGTAACATAGAAGATCATGAACTTCAAGAGGGCTACATGGGAGAACTAACAGGGCAGTGAGCACCCCAAAGAGGACAGTGTCCTAAAGAACCTGGTTACTGGTAACATTTGCACCTCTGTATTGAGTCTCTCCTAGAGCCTACCTTGCCTCTGGTCATTTCAGTTACACAAGATACTGTCAATGGAATCATAGACAGAACTGACTGGTAAAATATCCAAATTTCCATTTTTTACTTGGAATTATAAGTCTGAGTGAAGCCTAACTATATGTGCATTGTTACCTAATAGTTGAGTTATAGGTAGCTGTCTAATCTATAATTCCAAAAAATGTTGTGACATAAATGAGTCCAGGGAAATGAAAATGAAGTCCAAAGGTGAAGATGTATTTAATTAAACAAAGAAATATAGTCATGAACACTGTTAAGCATTGAGCTCTACAAGTCATACTGTAAATGAATTTTGTGATTATTCACATTTCCAAATGTTTTTAAATATCTATACTGTTTATATTAAAATTCATCTGAAAAAAAAACAGATTTTTCCAAAAGTTCAGGAAACACCATCTAAAAAATGAAAAAAAGAAAAACCTGACACAGAGGAATTTGTGATTATGAACAATATAAATTTAAGCTCCAGTTTCCAACACTACGCTATGCAAACAGGAAGGAAAGAATTTGTTATAAACGCATAGTTTTGTCCATTATGAGGTCATACCCTAGCAGTTTCCTCTCACCTATGACTGTTTCTGGTGATTGCAGTCTGTTAAAAATATCAATCATTACAGCCTCATAAATTCTCTGCTCTGTATCATTCTATAACTTGAATGCTAATTCTTGAGGAAACATTGCAGATGCCATGTGGGATGGCAGGGAAAGAAACTTCTGGAGAAAATTACTAACACTCACAAACTTGTGAAGATATACTACCTGGACTAAAAATGATCTTAAAAAACGTTTAGTTCTGAGGAAGAAAAGCATAATGGAAAAGCTGCATCTGGGAAAGAAAGTTTCAGATTTCATTTCCAACATTCAGTAATTTTAGAAAATTTGGTTAATGGATTTCAGCATCAGTTTTCTCTCCTGTTATTGAGAGAATAATAGATAACTTCAGGATTGTGAGAGTAAGAAAGAAAATAACCTGGATTCAAATATTTATCTCACACAATGCTTGATACATGGGAGGTGTTCCATAAATGTTCTTTAAGATTTTAAGATATAAAGTTGGATTATTATTCAGTTTCAGGTGTATGCCCTTTAATCATTTTACAGGAAGGAGGAGGGGTGCTAAATTGAAACTCAAATAAGTACTATCAAAGAGAATTATTATGCCAAAGCAAAACCCCCTTGGACTATCAATATGCACTTTTTAAAAAGAGACAGGAAGGTAAAACAGGTCCTTTCCAAGGGTAGGTACCAGTGGAAAAGGGGCGGGCATAAGAAGAGGGTGAAGGAGGATGAATATGGTGGATGTATCATATATTCATGAGTGAAAATAGAATAATAAAACCTGTTGAAATGGTTCTAAAAAGGGAAATGAGGGAGAACAATGGAGGGGGTGAAACTAAGATTTATTGTAAGCACATATGTAAATGTCACAATGTGTCCTCCTGTACAACTATTATACGCTAATAAAAAAGAATTCCTAATACTTCTTTCATGAAACATGAAGTGTCTGATAAGAACAATTCTGTCTCCATGTCTGTAGAGATAAAGCTCTTACCTACATCTAATCCTTTCCCAGAGAAAAGAAGTCACCTTCTCAGTCTCCCTTGCAACTAGATGTGGTCATATGGCACAGATGTGGCCAATGAAATGTAAGCAAAAGTCAGTGGGTAGCGCTTTGGAAATTTTTCTAATGGGGTGGGAAATGGAAAATGCCTGCAGATATTACTAAATGTCTGTGGGACATAATCACCTCTGTTTGACAATCACTGTTCTATAGTTCTTCTATACTTACGCTGCTTTAGTTTCCTGACTCCTGTGGTCCCTAATCCTTGGACCACCCATTTTAATTGTGTCAATTTTAGTCTAGCCATACGACTAAATTCATGATGGGCATAAAAGGTCTCATCGACCTTTGAACAGCCCCATGCAGGTAAGTGCTTTGTGAACTCGGGGTGAATTTAACTTATTCACATTTTTCACTGATTTCTGAAGTTGTTTCCTACAGCAACCTGAGATCTTGCCTCCCATGAGATATTCTGCCTGATTAGGAAGGGGAGAGTGTGCAGATGCCTAGGGACCCACCTCCTTTCACCTGATCATGCCTTCTCCCTTAATGTGAACTTAAGACTGAGCTGCAGGACCTTAGTTCTCTGTGGAACATCTGAGAGGCAAGTGTATTTTGCTTTTCCTTGTAAGTCATGTAGATTTGAGACCCACTTTCTGATTCTCCATATTTCCAAGTTTAATGCTGCAAAACGAGCCATCCTCACCTTGCGACTCCACTAAGGCAGAGGTCTGGTTCATAGGCTGCTTTAATGTTTCTCCACTTGGTTAAATGGGAAACCCACATGTTCCCAGATACTTATTTTGGATCTCTATTCAGAACAAAAAAGTCACAGAAACACTGATATGTTTCCTGACTGTAGACTTCCTTTTGCATGTGATGACTGATTCCATTGTAAAGGAAAAGGAATGATGCTAAGAGTTCAAGCGATTTCACAAAGTGTACTTGCATGGGTCTTAGAGTAAAGCACTATGCCAGGCCCTGGTGAGATTCAGAAATGGATATCAGTGTGATGTCAGACCTTGGGGACTTTTATTCTTTCAGTACTTCTTGAACTCCTGCAATGTGTCTTATACTATGCGAAGAAGGCTAATGACATTCGCTGAATACTGTCTTGTGAGTCACTCAGTGAGCACTAGAGGTGGAATGGTAAGACATAATCTCTGCCCACCGGAAGCTCACACTGAAGTGGGGAAGATGGCCACATGAAACAATTACAAGTCATTGTGGCAAGTGTTGTGGTTTCAAAATGTCCTTAGAGAAGAGAGTTACTGAGTATAGGGCTTATGGATTTGGGAGATGAACTTCCTATCTGTGAGAAGAATCCAAGGAATAATAAGGATGGTAACTTAACTTATGCTGGGACAGGACTGAGAATGGTTTATGGCATCTACTGGTGAGGCAGGTATTATCTGCATGTCACAATTTGGACCTTGAGTGTACAGGAGGTTAAAGAACTTTCTAGATATCACATAAGTACTACCTGAGAAACATGAATGTAAACCAGGGAGTGTGGACTGTTAGCAGTGCAAAGCCTTCTTGGTATAACTCCAGGGTGATCTAAGAACTTAGGGATGGTCTCTGAACCCTTTGTTTTTATAATTGTACCAAGTCTTCCCTCTGGTTTATGTTGGGCTTTAATCACCTTAGCTGGTCAAGATCATTGAAGGAGGGTAGCTTTATAGTGTAAGTATAAATCATTTGGCTCCTAGTCTCAAGTTCCCTGGAATCTAAGAATATAAGGTGTGTTGATAAACACATACCTGACCTGCCTTGGACAATGTTCACCCTGGACCTGGACAGTCTTCAAATCTGTCGATGAGAAATCTGAGTAATACCCTGAGGTGTTAGAAGGCTGGGCAGTTGGGAAGGATGAGTCAGAGCATGAGTGGACACTGTGAAGAGATGCTGGAGCTTTGTTGTCCCTGAGAGCATATGACTGAAAGAAATTAGAGAGACAATGAGGTAGAAAATTGTAAATGAATTGAGCTGAATGGAAATGATATGGTTGCCAAGTAACAAAGTGTAGAAGGCAAGAATTGGGAGGAGAGGCACAAATAAGATCACAGATCCTGTCTATGATCAGCTTTGTGGTCCTCTTAGTGGTGATGAGTGTCAAATTTGATGCACCAGGGATATCTCTTCTGAAGACACTGAAAGGTATTTGGAGACATTCAGAACACTGTTCTGCAAACCAGGGATAGAAAAGGAGCAAGGAGAAGGGCAATGAAGGAAAGTTACAGGTAAAAGACTATTAAAAACTTTCAAGGGCAACAGAAAGGCATCTAACATGGACACAGTGACCCACATTTTCCAAGGACTTACCAACTATTTAATAGATATTTCCCCTCTCGTGAGTTTCCTACTTCTACGTACAAAATGATTTACTTTCCAGTTGATGACCATTCTTCATAAATCCCCATTGGCTACAGCATAAAGCCCAAAGTGTATAATTGTCTTTCATGAGCTGATAGTAGTCTCTTTCTACAGATTTCTCCCCTCTATCCCAGCCTCCCACAATGCTTTTGCACTTACTCTCTGCCTTCTTCTGTGTTCTTCCCTCTATACATTACTCCTACTCATCCTGACAATATCTACCTCACAAGAATCTCAGATATGCATGTTTTTTATTTAATTTGCCTGCTTTATGAAAAAAACTTTGTTTTGTATCATTTCAGAACATATTACCAAAATCATTGACTCTTTATGGTGACCTCATGGCTTATTTACACAATGTGACTGAGTTCATTTTTCTAGGACTTTCGCCCAACCAGAAGTTGCAGAAAATTTGCTTTGTGATATTTCTGCTCTTGTACACAGCAATTATACTGGGGAATTTCCTCATTGTTCTCACTGTCATGATCAGCAGAAGTCTTGGATCCCCCATGTACTTCTTCCTCAGTTACCTGTCCTTCGTGGAGATCTGCTACTCCTCCACTACAGCTCCCAAACTCATCTCAGACCTGCTGGCTGAAAGGAAATCCATATCCCTGTGGGGATGCATCACACAGATTTTCTTCCTCCATTTCTTTGGTGGCATTGAGATGTTCCTGCTCACAGTGATGGCCTATGACCGCTATGTAGCCATCTGCAAGCCCCTGCACTACACAAGCATCATGAACCGGCAGGTGTGTGCTGTCCTCCTGGGAACAGCATGGACAGGAGGCTTTGTGCATTCCCTTGCCCAAATCCTTCTCATTTTCCATTTGCCCTTCTGTGGCCCCAATGTCATCAACCACTATTTCTGTGATGTACTTCCTCTGCTTAAACTTGCCTGCTCAGATACCTTCCTCATTGGTCTGCTGATCGTTGCCAATGGAGGAACTCTGTCTGTTATCAGTTTTGTAGTTCTCTTAGCATCCTATGTGGTCATTTTGCTCCACCTGAGGACTCGGAGCTCTCAGGGGCGATGCAAAGCCCTCTCCACATGTGGGTCCCACGTTTCTGTTGTTATATTATTCTATGCACCCTGCGTCTTCATCTATCTGAGGCCTTCTTCCACTACGTCTATTGACAAGATGGTGGCCCTGTTCTACACAGTGATAACTCCACTCCTCAACCCTGTCATCTACTCCCTGAGAAATGCTGAAGTGAAGAAGGCCATGAAGGTTCTATGGATCAAGACAATGAAACTGGTTAGGAATAGAGGTTGGGTGTGGGTTTTCATCCTTAGATGTGAAATGTTGAGTCCAAACTGAAGGGGCACAGTGTTTGAAAGGAAAGTTCATAGGATTTATTAACTTTAGAGTTATTCTATTTGGTATCCATCTTTAAATTTTTTATCTTAAACTCTTGTAAAATATTTCTTCTTATGTATGTACTATAACATACATTGCCATTTTAGATTGTTTCTAATTTCGAGTCCTGTAAACAGCACTGTGGTAAATACCCACAGTGAAATAGGTAACTATATTTGTCATTTTCTTTTAGACTCACTTACTACAGTGAATTTACCTTGTTAAAGATTATGAAGTACATTGATAAATTGAATCCCAGACCTTGTGAACATTCACTTAACAGGGTCAAATACTGTGATTAAATACATTTTTTATGAGAAATAATGTTTTAAATTGTTCCAAAGTATTTCCCAGCAAAATATTTATTTCCTACAAAAGGTAAATGTAACTTTGTGACCCTCTTATAAAATTGCCTGAAGTGAATGTCACAAGGAATGAAATAAATGATACAGTAAGCCTCCTGATTTATGCACTAGAGAGGCACACAACATTACATCATTACTGTGGTGTTCCTATAAAAACATATAACCCAAATCTGATCATGCAAAAGCATAAGGGAAACCTAAGTTGAACAACATTCTGCAAAATTACTTTCACTCTTCAAAAGGGTGATGGCAAAGAAAGACTGAAGAATTATTCTACATTGACAACTCATGACAACTGAATGAAACATGGGATCCTGTATTGGGTCCTCTATTAGATAAAGGACATTACTGGGAGGGGGAACTGTATAAGTAACATAATAAATTTATATAAATGTTGATTCATTATTTTGATAATCATACTGTATTTGTCTCAGAGAACATCCTTGGGTTGAGGAATTACTCTTTGATGCCTTCAAAGATAAATGGTCATCATGTTGGCAACTTTGAAACATTTCAGAAAAATTATCATTTCTATTGTATATATTTAAGGTTTACATCATAGTAATTTGACATACAAGGTGAAATTATTAGTGCAGGGAAGCAAACTAACATATCCATCAGCTTCCATAGTTAGCTTTTTTGTAATAAGAGTGCCTGGAATTCAATCTCATAGCAAATTTGCAGTATGCAGTATAATATTTTAATTATAGTTCTCAGGCTATACATTAGATCTCTCGACTTACTCAGGCTATGTGATCCATTTGTTTCCTTTAGCCTACTTATATTTCTATTGCATGAGAAAAATTCTATCTATACTTTTGTCTTCATGTCCATTAACTTATTAAGAGAATGAAAATATGGCAAAATACTCTTACTTGGGGAATTTTCATTAAGGGAAAACAGGAATTATTGTTTGTACTTTTGCAAGTTGGTATGTCAACTTATTTTACAATTAAAAGTTAGAGATAGGGAATTGGTGAAGTGGCTCAAGGGTTAGAGTGCCTGCCTAGCACATCATGCCTAGCATGAAGCCCTGAGTTCAAGCCTAAGCATCACCAAAAAAGAAAAAAAGTAAGAAATTTTTCCAAATTAAACTGATATTTTATTGTTGCTTAATTTGCATTTCTCTGATTTTTGTGAGAATGGGTGGTTTTTTTTTTCATTGATTTTGAGTCTTATTTAAAATTTTTTCATCCAGGTATGGTGGTACATTCTTGTAATCCCAGAACTCAGGAGGTACAGCAGGAAGAGCACAAGTTTGAGGCCATCCTGGGCTACATAGTAAGACCCTATCTCAAAACAGCAAAAACTTTTTTTTTTCATTTGATCCCTGGCACCACAAAAAAGTGCAGTTAAATATTTTCAATGTTTGAAAGCTTTACATTTCTATATTGCAAAATTGTCTGTTTTTCTATTGTTTTTTCCATTGCTTTTTGTGTTTAAATTATTTTACACCATTGGTTAAATACACATTTTCCTTGAAAAATTAATTGAATCTTCAATTTAATTTGTGCAAAAGTAATATATCCAAAGGTTAAGAGATAAAATATAAAGGTAGACAACTGAAATGTTTTATTTTATTTTTCCATTCCTTCTTTGTCTTCCCCCTTTTACATTTCTTGACTTCCTATATTTCTTTCAGAAATTAATGTGTAATTAATCCCAAACTTTTACAAACAGTACTTTTTCCAGACAAATAAAAGCTGGAGGATGTATCCCGACCAGCACTATCTTACAAAGAAAATCTACAGAATGTTTCTTCGAACTGAAAAAGACAGTTATGAGTGAAAAGAAAATATAGGAAAGTGTAACACTCACTGCCAAAAGTAATTATACAGACAAATTCAGAATGATCAAATATTGTAAACGGGGTGAATAAACCATTTATATCTTAAGTGTGAAAACAAAAAGTAAAATAATTTTTAAAATAACAAATGTGCCATACATGGTGCGCACACAACCTGTAATCCTCCATAGTGTAATTAATGACGAGTGTAAGGTCCGGAGGATTTCATGAAGTGTGAGGTCAGTCCTCGATACACAGTAAGCTCTGCCTTCAAAATCATAAATGATGATAAAGTAAGTAGTTTAATATGTTTATTTGTGACAATAGACAATCTAATCAAGAATATAAATGGATTTTGATACTGAAAATGTCCCCGAGAAAGGTTCACATGTTACAGGACTTAGACAGAGATGAATGGGCTTTTGGGAAGTGATCGGATCATGAGGGTTCTAACTTCATCAAGTGGATTCATCCATTGAAGATTCACAAACTTGACAGCAATTATGGAAGATGACGGAACTTAAGGTGGGGGCCTACTTGGGAGGAAGTAGGTCTCTGAGGTCAATGCCTGGAAGGGTTTATCTTATCCCTCGGCCCTTGGTCTCTGCCTCTCCCCACTTCCTTCTCAACGCTGCATGAGGGAAGCACTCCTGCTGCATAATCCCCGCCCATCCTAATGTTTCCACCTCACCTCAGGCTAAAGCAATGACGCTAACTGACCATGGAATAAAAGCTCTGAAACCTTGACCGCAAAAATAAACCTTTTCTCCTTGAAGTTGTTGGTGTCAGGTTATTTTGTTCATAGCAAATGCAAAACTGACTGACACACCGAAGCTTTGCAAGCACATAAAGCTCTGAGTTCAAACCCCAGTCCCAACCAAAAAGGAAAAGATGTTTTTCTGTAAGCCTCGAATATAACCACAAAGCAAAAATCCATAAAGACAAGCAAAAATAATTGGCAAAGAATGAAAACACACAATAAATAAAATCATTTAATCACAAAAAAAACTCACTGGAAGATCGGAAGAAATAAAAGAAGTATGATCAAACTATAAAACAAAGTTACAAATGGTTAATTAAGGTCTTATCTACCAATACTTATTCAATCAGTGGACTACCCCTTAAAAGATATGGTATGACTGAATTTAAAAAAAGAAAAAAAAAGACAAAATATATGTTCCTTTTAGATATTCACTTCACTTCTAAAGACCATACAGACTCGAGTGAAGGGGTGGACCTACGATGTTCTACACAAAAGAATCCAAAAAGAAAAACAGGCAACAGTCATCAGAATGAAAATCAATTTTAAAATCAAGCAGTAAAAAGAGATCATAAGAGCCTTATACAATGACAAAGACTTGAAATTAATAAGAAAGAATAACAATTCTTAATATTATATGGCATAGTAGGATAACTATGGGTGACAAAAATTAGTGAATACCTATTTTTTTTTAATTTTTATTTTATTCATATGTGCATTACATGTTTTGGGTCATTTCCTCCCCCTTTCCCCCTCCTCCTCCCTATCCTGCCCTTACCATCCCTTACCCTCGCCACAGGTAGACAACTAATTCTGCCCTTCATTTCTAATTTTGTTGTAGAGAAGAGTATACAGCAATAATAGGAAGGACGAAGGTTTTTGCTCGGTTGAGATAAGGATAGCTAATACAGGGAGTTGAACAGCATTTGGGGGGGGGGGGGATTTTTTTCCAAAAATGTTACCCATTGTGGGGTTTTTTGGGGGGGTTAACCTTCTCAGTTAATTCCGTCTTGGAACTACCTTTTCTCTCTAGTCCCTGGTCCCCTCCTCCTATGGCCTCAGTTGCTTTTAAAGTATCTGCTTTAGTTTCTCTACATCTGAGGGCAACCAAACATGCCTATCTAGTTTTTTTGGGTGTCTTACCTTCTTGCTGTGTTCTCGCTTTAATCATGATCAAGTCCAATCCCCATTGTGTATCACCCTTGATCTATTGTCCTTATATGAGGGAGAACATACGATTTTTGGTATTTTGGAGCCAGGCTAAACCTCCAACTGTGAATGATAACATCTTCGTCTCTCTCTCTCCAGTGGCTGCTAAAATTCCATTGTGTATAAATCCACATTTTTTTTTTTTTTTTTTTTATTTTCATTTACAAGGTGTTATTCTTTTTTTTTTCATTTTTCTTTTATTATTCATATGTGCATACAAGGCTTGGTTCATTTCTCCCCCCTGCCCCCCCCCTCCCTTACCACCCACTCCACCCCTCCCCTCCCCCTCAATACCCAGCAGAAACTATTTTGCCCTTATCTCTAATTTTGTTGTAGAGAGAGTATAAGCAATAATAGGAAGGAACAAGGGTTTTTGCTGGTTGAGATAAGGATAGCTATACAGGGCATTGACTCACATTGATTTCCTGTGCGTGGGTGTTACCTTCTAGGTTAATTCTTTTTGATCTAACCTTTTCTCTAGTTCCTGGTCCCCTTTTCCTATTGGCCTCAGTTGCTTTAAGGTATCTGCTTTAGTTTCTCTGCGTTAAGGGCAACAAATGCTAGCTAGTTTTTTAGGTGTCTTACCTATCCTCACCCCTCCCTTGTGTGCTCTCGCTTTTATCATGTGCTCATAGTCCAATCCCTTGTTGTGTTTGCCCTTGATCTAATGTCCACATATGAGGGAGAACATACGATTTTTGGTCTTTTGGGCCAGGCTAACCTCACTCAGAATGATGTTCTCCAATTCCATCCATTTACCAGCGAATGATAACATTTCGTTCTTCTTCATGGCTGCATAAAATTCCATTGTGTATAGATACCACATTTTCTTAATCCATTC